TTTTTGCAGAAAGGACGTCCGCCCTTAGCGTAGAAGCTCTGTCCTTCCAAATTTTTCTTACACATCTAAAATAAAATGTATGTCGTTTTACTTTCATTAGCCTTATCAATTGAAAGTTATTCAATAATGAGTGCACACCTTATTATATAAATGTCTAATATTTCTACATAACACACACTGTTGAAAAAATCAAAAATTGGTTTCCGCAGTATTTATTTAGCAATTGAAATTGTTCTACTATTCGGTCGGTTTTTATTTACAGTCAATGAATCATATTCAAAATCATTTAAACCTTTAAAATAAACGGCTGTAAAAGTCAGAAGTTAGGAAAATTATTATTTTTTCCAATTCAATTATCCAAAAATCTTAATTTGAACCACGATATAAAAAGTAAGAATGAATTTGTTAATAAAATATTTAATGAAATTATTTGAGGTTTATAAATAAAATTTAATATAAAACGACGTTATTCTTCTTTATAAAGTTTTTTGTACTATACATTTATATGTTTTTTTTTTAAACTTACACACACATCCAAATTTAAAATTTTTGCCTTGAATTTTATTTACGAATCATTAAAAGATGTGCTCAAGGCAATGCGGACGAGTAAAGTATTTAATGACTCTTCAATTATTTTTTAAAGCAAATTATGTATGGATAATACTCACGGTGCAATTGAAGCACTGGCTATGGTAATTATTAGACAAAGCTTCAACCCAGCGATCGCCAGCTTCCACAGGAAAGCCGCAAGCAAAGCATTTGGTTGTGAACATCTCGTTCCAGTCTAGTAAATATCATATTAAATATCAATATTGCATTCTTTATACACTATATATATATATATATATATATATATATATATATATATATATTATACGCTATGTATTACCTGCTTGACAATGGGTTCCGTCTTCCAAAAAAATGGATTGTTCCAAAAAGTTTGCCACAATAAACGCAGTTGAAGCATTCAGGGTGGAAGGTTTGCCAATTGCGTTCAAAACAATCCTAAAATAATAATTACTCATTGAATAAAGCATAGAGAGTAGTAATAATTAACCTTGTCCATCGATTTACGTACCCCCTGATTTTGGCATGGCATTTGTCGCAAGGTGGTGCAATATACTGTTCGAAGCAGTACTCGCAGTACAATTGCCCTTGTTCTTCAACGAATCCAATGTCGGCAAGTGGCCTTTGCATGTGCCGTTCGAGCAACAAAGTGACTGGGGCACCAGATACGTCCTAGAGCTGATATGAATGGTCCTCTATAAAAAATAGATATTTCACAGGGCATAATTCTATAAGAGAATATTACTTAAAGCATACAAAAACAAGTCATCGCAATAAATCACACAAACAATTTTTATCATGCATTGATCAAAGTCACACTCAATTAAAAATTATGTGAGGTTAATATTTCTAATCGTTACTGAATTAATTAATTCATCGTTCAATTACCTTTGCATTTTGATGTCACCTTTTTCCCATACCATTTAATATGTTTTTGGCAACAATATTATAAAACAAAAAATTTAGAGTATTAAATTCTATATTCTTCATGATTTTTATTTTAGAAAACAAATTGATAATTGAAAACTACATTCTTCATAAATTTTATTTTAAAAAAATTGAAAATTATTTGAGCGCAACATAAAATTTAATAGAAACGTATAATAATGTAATTGATTTTTACCTCCTGATTTCTGTTTACATTCATGGCACACAGGATATTCTTCACTTGCTAATCCCGTTACTCGTGATACCTGATTCGACTGCATTTCCATTTTTTTGCAAATCTATTTTATTATCATCAGAATTCGAAACCTCATTTAGTTCAATTTTACCATTTTCAATGTAAGATAGAGGTCTAGAAGTTTTTTTACTCAAGAAAGAATTCGTTTTACAATTTCCATTTAAAATTTTAGTATTAGTGGTTATGTGTTCAGTTGTACCATTGAAATCACTGATTGCCTTAGGTTTTCTTAATTGAACATTGTTATTATGTTCTATTTTGTCAGATATTTTATTATCATGTGCATCTTCATTTTGTTGAGCTATTACAGGTTCCATTTTATATATAACGTTAGTAATATGATTGCTTTGTGAATCATTTGAAAGTTTAAATTTTTCTGTTACAAGAGGCGTCATTTGTTTAGCTCCCACTTCATCAGATTGAGGGTTTTTGAAATCTTTGCCAATTTTATGTCTCTCTGAACGTTCATGTTCCACTTTTGCAATATGTCTTTGTAAGACATTAGTCAAAGCTTTTACACTATCAGGATTCAAAGTTAGTTCGCTCACTGGATGCCTTTTAGTAGAACGAGCTTCAAGCGATGGTGCTGCAGATGTAATCTTTTGTGTTGGTGATGTTTTTGGCGAAATTTGTGTTTTTAGCTTATACTCAGGAAGGTTAGACTCAACGACATGCTCTATAAGTAATGTTAATTGAATTAAATAAAAAAAATTGCAGTATAAATTAAATACAATTATTAAAAATGAATCATTCGACAAAATTGTTATAAAACCAAACCATATATGTGCAAAAATAATTAAATAAAATAAACACCGTATTAGCAAAAACATGAAAAACAAACGAAAAACAAACATTTAAAACCCATGCCGATACCTCGTATCGAGTATCGACTAACCTCACGTAAGAGTTGCAATGACCGCATAATGGCACCCTAGATCCGGTCAATGCTGCTTTATTTAAGATACCTCGTCCTCTCTTTGGGGCCGTCGACACTCCGAACGCACCGCCCTTGGGAGCACTAACACCACCTGCACCGGGAGGGGTCGGGTCACAAACCAAAGGATTGGATATGGTTTTGGCCGTTGATGATACACCGGGGGATTTTAATGTAGGGAATCCCGTCTTATGGGGCAATGTACACTGATTCAAAGATTGCGGACCATATGCAGATGTAAATGATGAAGATGCCAATTGATGCGACTGAGAAAGCGTTTGGTGGTGTTTGTTGACAGTGGATTGGCCAAATTGTTGAGACGGATTGGAAGACAAGTTAGGAGGCGGGAATGATAAAACTGTTGGAGATGGGTGTGATATTTCCTGTTTTACTACTTTTCCGTCAGGACCTGTGCGAATTTCAATAGTTTTTGCTTTTTGAGTATGTTCATATTCTTCCTTAACAGTATGTCTGCGTTCAATAGTTTTTATCATATTGGGGCTCGTTTCAACTTTACTTGTATTGCTTGTTTGTTGCCTATTGTGCTCTTTATGTCTCATACTCTCTTGAACGTTTGTAGTTCTACGAAGTCCTGTTAATTTATCATAATCATGATGTACTTTCGATTCTTCTTGATAAGTTTCACACCCCGTGTCATAATTGAGAGAGCCGATATCTGGATTAGTTACATGAATTTCGCTTGATGGTTTATTATATTTATTTTCAAAACCTTTTGCTGCTTTCGGTATGAATACATTTGATTGCACCCCGCGATGTTCGGTAGAAACAACATTCGTCTGGTAAACTGGTAAAACGGAAGGAATAAAATTCTTCGGCGTCGTACTTGCGGGTCGTGGAGCGATGTTCATGTATAGCGGAATCTTGCTCTCGTTCGTAATTGGGGTGCTTGGTGCACGAACTTGGGTTTTATATGATTCAGTACTTTCTGCTTGTGCATCAGTATTGATGATTTCATCCGGTAATGGAGGAGGAAAAGATAATGTGCGCTTGAAAGGAACTGAGGTTTTAGGTGAAGCAGGTGATTCAACAACTGGCTTTGTTGGAGATAAGGGACTAAATGGTTTATGAACTGGTATATTCTTGCCCTTGTCAGTTTTACTAAATGTTTGAATAGGTTGGAAACTAGTATAAATTGGTGCTATATCCGAGGCCGGAACATAACTTGGTGTATCTGTATAAGAAAAATTAACCGGTGACGTAGCTAATGAAAATGGTTTTTCAGGTGCTATTGTCAATGCAAATGATAAACTCATTCGGTTTGTAGATGGTGCTTGAGTAGAATGAGGTTCATTTGATGAAGGGTTATTTACTTTCCTTCCTACTGAAGGATGATTAACTTTCATTTTTGGTAAACATGAGTTAGTTGTCACGTCTTTCTGTATATTCTTTCTTGGCAAATTTGAATTTTTATTAGATGGATATATAGGATTTGTCGGGTCATGCCGGTTTATACTAGAATTAGTATTTTGTGAAATATGTGTAGATGTATTTGATTGGACTTTATGTTCAGCTTTGAGCTTTTCTGTAGAGATTGCTGAGATCTTCATCTGTTCTTGCATATAATTATTACTGAAACTAGATTTTTCTTCTTTATATTTTCAGCATTTTTAGATTGAGATAAAAAACTTTCTGCTACGTAAAATATTTGATCAGGCTTGACCTCAGATGTTTTTGATAATGAATCATTATCAAAGTTTGTTGAATAATTTGACAATTTCTGCATATCACTTATATTTTTGAACGATGGCATAGAAGTAAGCGGAATTTCCTGCCTTTCCTCTAATGATTCTCCTGATATTGTCGAAGTCTTACTAGTAAATTCAGTAACTTTATTAGAATACGAGGATTCTGTTTTTAGGCCAGCAACAGCGTCAATGCTACTAGATTCTGATTTTATTTCTTCATTTAAAATTCCATTTATAACGCCATTAATTCTTGGTTGTTTGTCGAAGTCAGATTTTGAATCGGTTTCTTGAGAGGATAGATCCGGCAATAATGGTTTTTGCGTATGGTTTTCTTTCACAGTTGTTTCCGATTTATTCTCTAATACTTTATTTGAATCAGCCAATGCATCTCTACTAATTTCAACTTCATGTAAACCCGAAGACTGCTTAGAATGGTTATCACTTGACCGTGTAGTTTCAGAACGTGAAATGATTTCTTTATTTAAAGATTCTTTCAATATACATTGATTTTTAATTTGTTGCTGTTCTGAAATTTGTGGCTTACTTGGAGATGATTTTTTCTCCGCTTGTAGATTTTTCTGTAAAGTTTCAACATTTTCAACTTCTTGTAGCTTCTCATCTAACTTTTCTTTTAACGTGTTATTTTCCGGAGTTTCTGTTTTTATTTCATGACTATCTGCATTTATTTCCTGTGTTGCTGTCTTTATTTCCTGAGTTTCTGTCTTCATTTCATGTCGTTCTGTCTTTATTTCCTGAGATTCTGTCTTTATTTCTTGAGATTCTGTTTTTATTTCTTGAGATTCTGTCTTTGTTTCCTGATTTACTGTATCTTCAATATTTGATTGTATTTGTTCGTTCGCTTTAACTTGATCGGTCGTTTTCAAATCTTCGCTCTTATGTGCATCACTTAATTCACTTGTAGGTAAATTTTGTAACCGATTTTCACTGTCCTGGTCTTCAGTTTTCTCAATTTGCATAGTATTAATTTGTCTCTGTTGTTCAGACTCGATAGTAGATGAAAGGGATTCAAGTGATGTAACAATGGGTTGGGATTGAGAAGCCCCCTCCTCGGGTTCATTACGATTAACATACACCTCTAGTTATCACATGTATATGGTGCAACACATGATGAATATTTTTAGATGACAATTTTTATGAAAGAATGTTATGTCGGTAATAAGCAACAAAAATGATAATAGAGATTAATAAATTCATGTAAAAGGAGGAGAGAGAAAATGAATAATAAAAGGATGGTATCAGTTAGTTTTTTACAGCAAAGCATTAAGGAAATATTATATAAACAATAACCATAGGGCCCCAATACATTGAACCTAGTACTGTCATGTATTTGTAAATGTGTTATTATGTGTTACCAAATTTGGAGGGCCAAGGAAATTATTTTATTAACAAGTTCTACGTATTAAAACCCCCAGTTATAGTATTTTGCATTTGTTTGTCAAATATTAAATCCAATTTAAATAAAACAGCTTAGATTAATCAATTCTGAGATAACATATAAAAACATCGCTGCATATTAAAATTATATCTAAAAAATCTATATTACAATTGCAACATACTAAATTTCATAAAAATAGAACGATCAAATTGTGAAGGAATTGAGAATATAATAAACTCCAAAATATTATGCATATTTTTGGTGAATGATATTCTCAAGTTAATATATACATCTATAAATAATGATGGTAAATGATAAAATATTACTATATATGTGTATAAATATTTTAGTTGTTACACTAATGTTGATCCACCATTACTCTCACCTTTAAATCCTACTCCAGGTTTTGTTGTAGGAAATTTTCCTGAAATTAAAAAAATATTATTGAATTGATTAAGTGTATTTTATTTAAATTTGGTAAAAGTCTAAATCATTTCATATACCAATTAAAATTTTTGATTAATATTAGGTAGGTATTATTAGGTAGCACAATTACAAAAAAATCCGATATTCGAAATAATATTCTCTTGATAGTTACCTTGTTGTTGTTGAGAAACCAATGGTGACAGTGGAGCACTATATGGTGATAGTGGGGCAGAAACTGGACTCAAAGGAGAAGCCTGGGGTGCCCCAAAACTGTATGGCTTAGGACCGGATAAGTTACCAGACAGCTGTGGAAATAGAAATGAACATAGATGATAGAAAACTATAATAACAACACTTTTTTTTATTCTTATTAATTATAAGCTATAAAAAGTCCATATACTGCGGAACAAATAATTCAGTTTATGATGATTTATAACAATTAAGTTATTTAGTTTAAGTTAAGTTATTAAAAAATAACTAATAATCTATATTTAGACAACCATCGATAACATTACATGCAAAATTTTGTCTAATTTTCATTTCATTTAATTAGTAACTATATTCAAATTCTAAAATAATATTTTTTGTTTGATAAATTAAATTTATCTTTACTGATTTTGATTCTTCAAAAGAAGAGATAAGGTTTATGTAGTATGATTTTAGCATGTGTTTATCTTAAATTTATTTAATCTACTATTCTATCTTTTATATTTTTACCTTATACGATCCACCTTGATTTGGTGGCAAAACTTTTCTATATCCATTAATTACAGTGCCATTCGGGGATGTATTAGTTTCTGATTTAGGAGATGTGTTGTGCTCAATCGAGGTAGGTGAATTTCTAGTTTCATGGTTGTTATTATACGGAGTAATTTTCACATAGTTCACAAGTGAGCTTTTTGGTGAATTCAATTTCCGTTGTTTCTCTAAAGTTTCGTCATTAGTATATGTGGGATCGTTGGGAGCAATCTGTACTAGAAGGTTGGATTCGTATGTAACCTGGTTAGGCTGGTTAGTATCATTGACGGCCGAAGGAGACACTTGAACACACAGATTGGTGCATGTCTGCAAACACGTTGTTAGTGATACACACTGATTAGCGGATGCTGTTAAAGCCTCACAAAGTAATTAATTATGAATATTAAACTAGTTTTGTAACAGGTACTTCATCATATCACAAAAATCATTGAGAAATAAAAATTAGTTAGTTTAATAAAAAAAATTGACGAATATAAATCATAATATAAGGATTTCAAAATAATAAACGTTTACCGTCTTGTGTACCTAATAAAGTAAAGTATTATACTAGACACAACTTTTAATTTTTTATCGAAAAATTTCAAACATAAAATAATTCAAATAATATTTTATAAATATTATAATAGTTGTGGCAGTTATTTACATTACAAAATGTTTTTTAGCAAATTAATATTAATTAATTAATTAGTTGCAATATAAGTTAGGAGTGTAAACTATAAGTTTACAGATGGGGAAGTTTTGAATTACTTAGAAACGATATTAATTTAGATAATGACTGGAAGAAGTTGTTTTGAATATAAACTATTTATATTTAAACTATTAACTTAGAAAGTGACATTTTTGAAATATAAAATATTACGTGGTATTATATACAAAAAGTTAAAGCAAAATTAGTAAAAATAATTATTACACAATAAATAAATGTTGACCAATAAACAAATAAAAAATAATCACAAAAGCAAATACTTTAATTTCAACACGATTGCGACAAAATATAAAATTAATGTAAAAGCAAAAATTGCAAAATCATCATGATATTACCACAAATTTTATAAATTTGAAATAATTCCTATAAATTTACTTACTGGTGCTGAAACTGGTGCATATCCCGGAGTAGAGGGAGCTTGGTCCTTAGGTGGTGCCATACCTCCATTAAGTGGATGAGACGAGTGGGCAGCCAGAGCTGCGGAGATAGCGCTCACCGGAATTTTTCCGCCGCTACAATAACAATTTTTATAAATTAAAATCAAAATTAATATTTTATTATATTCTCTAAGTTGTTTTTAGAATATAATATAAATTTTATACTTACGGTGGCACGGTGAATGGAATGCATCCTTCGGTACCAGCTGGTGGATTTTGGCGAGCAACGAGCTTGGCGTGAATATCGCAATATAATTTATTATGAATGGTGTAGTATCCCTGGTTCTTCAAATTTGTACCGCAAGTTGCACATTTGAAACATTCAACATGTAAGTTCTTGTCCTTTATGCGCACGAACACACCCCTAGAGTAATGAAAATTTTCATTAATATAAATATTGGAGAAACCGTAAAAAATGATAATTTATGGTATAATCAGACATCTATCGTACGCAAGCTTTCTCATAATTCATGCCATAGTGCATACGAACAGAAATATTACAATAAAATGGTTGATATGCGAAGCTTCAAACTCAACAGACCAAATATTGGCAAATGAATAGCTTTTCATAAATGCAAACATAAATTTTATACGCTTTGTAATATGCATCTATTAGTGTTGCTTGAAATATATCTTGTTGCCAAAATTTAGTCGTTTAGTTGCAGAACCTATCAACAAATTTTGAAAGTGCAATGAAATTATATATAAATAATTCTTGTAAATTCTAATTGAGATAAAATACACATGCTGAAATGAGGAAACTAATACCTGACAAACAATATATTTAAATAAAATGTATAAACATTATCAAAATGTGTACTAACATCAATATATACAAATTTACATTCACACAGATTTTCTTTTATTCTCTATAATTAACTATAACAAAAGCCAAGAAATAAGCTTTAAGAATTTTCAAGATAAATCATAAAAATATGATTAATATTCTATAGCTCTTTTCCAGAACACGAGCAAAAATCATCAAATCATGTACTCATGCATTAATTATTTTAAGTTTTCAATGATCTTTTACAAATAAAGTAATTATAAAATTTTAAATTATTGCAATTTTGTTTATAACAAAGTACGCATACAAAGAATTTAATAAGGTAAGATTAAGTTGCGGACTCAATCATAGAGATTTTTTTAATGTATAATTTATAATTTAATATCGGCAAGATTAAATGATACGTTTATCGGTTTAATTCCGATACTGTTATAACCTAATGCAGAGTAAATCTGTCAATTTAAAATAAGAGATATTTTTCTCTTAAAAGCAGATTTGATGATAATCTATTCTATCTATTCAATGGCTTAATTGCAATCATAGTGCTTCTTCTACTTCTAATTATATTTACATCACATCAAAGCAAGCTTCTAGATATAAAAATAAGATTACTGATGCTACACGACATCTGCAAAATAATTTAAATTTCCTCTAATCTTACACAATAAACCGCGAACAGATTTCACACGTAGGTGATGACAAATCGGCAACTATTGGATATTGGTTCGTTAATATGTTGTTTTTACTCCTCGTACCATTCATATGATGATGAGAGACTGTCTCGTCGAGATTTTTTGAAAAATAAAGAAAATTCAAATAATAATAATTTTCTACTTATAATTGGATACTACTACAGGGTAAATGTTAATAATCATTTCTGCTCCAAGTTCCCGAAGAAAACCTAGATTTGGAATTATGAAATTTGCAACATTATTCCGCTTCAGCCATACCTAACCATTTAAATTAATGATTATGATTTATTTGTTTACGAGATAATTACAAAACAGTAATTTGTTAGGATTTGTTTTTTGATAAATAAATCATAATCAATCGCACTCACACGCCACTCTCAAGAATCGCACCCAGCGTACTAAAATTGAATTAGTACATACATACCACGTTCTGTAAAAGATATAATGCTTCAATTTTTTTAAGTATCATATCTTGTACAGTTTTACAATGAACACATACACTCAATAAGCTTCTTATATACAAATTTTCAGTCGCCAAATGAAATCCTACATCCACTCCTTTCCCGAAAACTTACACGATGAGTCTTTCGCAATCAGCGCAGATATTCTGCCCGGCCGGCAGACCGCCGGTGTTGTTTGTCGCGGGGCGATCGACTGGAGCCGACACGTGACGCAATCCAGAAACTGGTGCAGCCGGGGACGCCATAGGCTGGTGAGAATGATCCGAAGAGGGAGCTGTGACATGCACTGGACTAATCGGGGCTACTACGCATTTAGTATTTATAATATTAGCAAATGCAATACAAATGTAAATTAATATTTTTCTTCATTTGATCGTAACATCCCAGGCTGGTTATAGAGCAGAAAATAATAAAAAAAATGATCGTGCACATCTGAATATGAAATTTTATTTCAGGACATTTTATGAAAAAAAAAATTCAACTAATATGCGGTGTTTTCAATGATTTCATATTGTAGTGATTAAATTCTTCTACTATTCTCTGATCTGAAATCTTGGGGGGCGTCCATTAATCACGTGAGCTAGTTTTTAAGGATTTTTGGACCCTCCCTCCCCCTTTGTGATACGTGGTGATATTCAAAATTATCCCCCCTCCCCCACCAAACATCACGTGTATTTTTAGTTATTTATTTATTTATTTATTTATTAATTTTACAAGCCGTCGGTATAATATTTAATATTATAATAAGGCTTAAGTCAATATTTTATAGGTTTAATATAATTTAATTAATTATTCGCTATTTAATTACTTAATTTATTTACTATAAACCTATTTATATTTACTTAATTATAATTTTTTTTTTTTTTTAATATAATTAGTTTGTTTGTTACAAGTGTTTTTTTAAAAATTTAATAAGTAATTTTAATAAGCTTTACAATACATACTTTTACAATATTAACAAATTTTAGGTTATTTTATGATATTTTGTTATGTGAAAGAACAAAAAATTTTTATTCTTTTTTTGAAAATGTTTGAATTTTTTTTAAAAAATCAGTTAAAAAATAAATACACGTGATATCTTACCATACTCCCCCTCCCCAACGTGATATTTCGTGATTTTTTGTATAACCCCCCCTCCCCCTAAAAATCTCACGTGATTAATGGACGCTCCCTTGCCATGGAAATAAATTTAGCATTGTTATGTTGCAGTCCACCTGATAGCTGCGTTTTGCATGGAAAAGAATCAGAAATTAATATAGATTTAGCTTATTTTTCGCGATTTAGACCAAATTGAATCCATTTTTTCAAAATTGGTAAATAGTTACTCAACACTCTAAATAACAGCATCTAACTACATGCCATTTTTTGATTCAGGCACTTGTAATGTTAATAAATATTTCTTTTTTCTGGAATTATATATAATAATAAATATCTATAATAAATTCTGAAACTTGCTATTTTCCATGTCACAATAAGAGCATATAATCAGAAAAAAATCATCTTCTTATATACTCAAATATAATAAAATAAAGTATTACTAAATTATAACCAATTGTGTACAAACTAACCTTTTTCGGGTTCGTTATCAGCTTCCTGTAGCATTTTGAACACCTCACTATTTGCTGCATTATAGATTTTTTCGTTTTTCTTAAAGTTCACTCTACATATACAATATTGCATTTAATATGGAGTAAAAATAAATATGAAAATGAATATTATTAAAATTACCCTACTACACCGGTTTCGAGCACTTCAGAGTGTTTGTCTAATGTTTCCTTGATAGTTTGCTCACTATAGATATTCAATGGAGTGTTGTATTGTTTATTTACTAAGTTCTTAGGGCCGGTTCCATTTAACTGCAAATAATAATAAATAAGCTTTTCTTTTACCATATCCTATTCATGTTTCAATCAAATTCAACATCTCATTCAATCTGTACGAACTCGTATATGAGCATGTGTTCAAAATACAATTTTCATTTTATGAACATTAGATCTACTAAATTTATAAAACCTTACTTGCACACTTGCAAATGGTTTAGCCTTATTGTTGTGTCCGGATCCGATGTGCATGGGATCTTGGGGTTTGGCGGCCAAAGAAGTTTTGGTCACTGGTGACACATAAGAACCTAATGGTGATGGTTTTGGAGCAACTCCAGTTGGAACTACTTGTGGTTGCCATGTTGAGCCTCCTCTGTAAAAATATAAGGTTGGTGAATAGAAGAAAATAGAAGAAGGGTTAATTTTGATGACAACCATTTGAAATTTAAAAAAAGTTGTGGCAGTTTTATTGTACATACTTAACCTTAAACTTGAAATATTTTTTCACAAATGTGGTTACCCGATTACTTGAATATTTATATATTCTAATTGCAAATAAAATCATATTTTCTTACTTTAAGATTTATCTACAAAATTTCATTATTCAAGCAATGTAAATAACTATTAATAGTTATGAAAAACAAATGGTTGATATTTGTTTATAAAGTAAATATTTATAAAATTCTAAGAGCATATTTTGATAAGATATAATAATAATTGTGATAACTTATGGAATATATAAACAAAACACATTTAGATATAATCAAATGTTTTTCTAATAGGTTACGAATGCTCAAAATTAATACCATAACCAATTTTTCATATTTTAAACGGAATATATATAAAAATGTCAGTAATTCATTAAACTATTGCTATTACGAACATTTATTAACGCATAAAATATTTATTATAAAAACTAAACTAAATGCAAGTAATTTAAAAAAAAATGCGTTTAAATAATCTATAAAAGTGCATAATGCTTCTTTTGCAAACAGGCATATTTTTTAGAATTAAAATATTACCGAGTTAAATAAAATAATTGAATAATATATTGTAACGTTTAGTTTTATTCGTAAAACAAGAATGGAGACCATAAATCCTGCTATATATAAATTATTCAGAATATACAAATTTCTAAAGCAAATTCACATATAATAACTAGGAAATGCTATTTCTAGTTTCTATGCTCTCTAATATATAGAACATAAATTTATATGAGAAATAACTTTTACTAATTGTAAGAAAATTACATTTTTTCAGCATTTTCAAATTAACAAAAATAGTTTATGAGCCAATATTAAACTCATTAATTAAAATATTTCTAATCTCCACCAAACTACCGGAAAACTTCTGATTAGCTCTTGAGCATTTTTATTTTTTATAAAAGCACACTTTTAGAAAAAACCAAAATTTACCGAAACAGTTCAGGATTATTGACCACTCCGGACTGTTGAGTGCAGGACTAATGAACTTCTACTGCACATTTGTTTTAAAGCAGAATTAGGTAAAAATATATGCGTGCAACTTATGATCTTTTCTGCATATCAGATTGCCAGATATCAGATTGCCAGAGCGGAGAATCGAACGCGCGATCCGGTCCATACAAAGTCAACGCGTTAACGACCTTCGCCACGACAAACAATGCACATAGGACTTGTTAAGTTCTGATTGCTGTTGCTGGTAAAATATGTTATAAAAAAGTTCCTCAGATTCTCTACCCACTGAAACTCACTGACCTTTGTACTGTCACCTCAAAGGATTGTCCGGCGCGCACGATGGCGTCTTGCGCGTCCTTGTGTCTCAGATTATAGACGTCTGTGTTATTCACCTTGATGACAGCGTCGCCTGCTTGCAGACCAGCTCGCTCGGCCGGGCTTCCGCTGTTCACCTGCAAAAAAGACAAATAAAAAATACTATATGCAATATAATTGTAATGATGAAGTATTCAGAGACCATAAGGAAGAGATTCCAGAAAGAACGCTTAACGATCGTTTTGTTTTATACAAACATGTGCAAAATGATTTCAAGGAGAGCTTTTGTATTTTGTGCCATGATTCATGAAAGCATTCGCGTTTGCAGATGCGTCAATGGATAATTGAATAGTCTAAACTGATATTTCTAAAAGTAAAATAAAGATGGATTTGAGAAATATGCTAATAACTTGATATTTGTTCCATACTTTCATATAAGATAACGATAACAAGAAATATTTTAAGCTGGTTGCAATGTTTTGAAGTTCAAGTTTAATTAATTTATTTATTATTAGTATTTTAGATAGAAGATTAACCTGGCATGAACATATTCTAAAGAAGCGTCAGCAGCTTGAATTAACACGTAGGCAACTTAATTGGTTAATAGGCTGGAAATCACAAGCCACAATAGAAAATAAACTCCTAATATAGAAGACAATTATTAAACCAATATGGTCCTACGGCCTACAACTATGGGGTGCGGCCAGTAAATCTAACATAACTATTCTACAAAGGTTCCAAAATAAAATTTTGAAAGAAATCGTGAACGCTCCAAAATACGTTCCCAATTGGTTGATACATCAAGAACTCAGAATTCGAACTATAGAAGAAGAAATTAGTCTTTACTACACCAGATACAAAGCTCGTCTAAGTCGTCATCCAAACGTATTAGCGTCAGATCTGCTCAAGCCTTTACCACCAAAGCGTCTCAAAAAAAGAATCTGCAATGATTTACTACAAAATATAACATAACATCTATGAAGGCGCTATCGCAGGATAGCGATCCTTCTCACGCAGACAAATAATATATAACTGTAACAAATGTAGCTGAATGTACTTTGTATAGCTTGCTATGAAAAATAAATAAAAAAAAAGTATTTTAGATTGATTCATTTAGGTTGCCACACTTAATTTAATAGAAATTAGATTTATCAAAATATCAGTACTTATTGAGCAATGAAATGTTTTATATATTTGTTATTTGCGAATCAGTTACATCTGCTATTGTATCTCATGTTTGTCAGCATTGCATCTAAATGTAACATCTGCATTTATAGGGGATATTAAGACGAAAGCTAACTGAAGTGCGAATATATTAACAGCATCGTAAAATACTGGGCGAAGATTAACGTCTCGACTAAATGCGAAAAAAGAAATGAACAAAAACTGCAATACAATACGTGGAGTCTACCATATTATAGAGACAGTCAACAGCACTCAGACTTACATGTGTGATGACTAGGAGTAATATCTTGCAGTCTATGATATATAACTCTTGCAGACATGTATATTAACTAATTCAAATTTATCGAAAAATATAATATCCATTAAAATCAAGACAAATTTTAGAATTGTAAATTCAAACTTAATTTTAGATTTAGAATATATACAAATTTTGCAATGATTCCAATTTATGTTTACTTTATTTTTACAAGTTTAAAAACATATTTTTCTTAAAAAAAATAAATATTTAGACATTTTAATTTTTAAGATACAATTTAACAAAATATATAATAATAATTATTTTAAAGAAGGCAAAATTTTAATAGTACTCATTTATATTATTTCTAAAGTAGTTATTGATAGTTTGGTATATCAAATACGAGGGTTAAAATGCGTGTATTAGGTACTAGACACGTCAAATTAGTGTAAAAAAATAGGATAAAACTCATTGTACTGGTTGAAATCATTTATTTTTTTTAATTGGTTAAAATTGAAAATGGTAAAATCTAACATCTCTAGCTTGCCGATGCGTTGGTGTACCACAGACATAATACAAAACGATTCAAATAGCAAACTCAAATACTTGCATATATAAACAACTGTATGTGTTTTAATATATATTTAGTTCACATAACCTGTATAAACAAGCATATTTGCACTCTTTGTCGACCTACCCGCGAATTAACTCTCTGACTCAAAATAATTTAGTTTTTTCTCTAAAATATCATAGGCCTTATCGTATTCTTAAATGATTTCAATTGAGCATTTTTGTATATACGCTATAAAATTTATGGTCATTTATTACTGATGTATCGTATGTTTTTAGCGATTGACTAGCTGATCTAGAGAATAATAAATATGTACTTTATAAGATTGAAAAAGCGGGCGTACTTTGGGTGATATCATAGCAGGAAGCCCAAGAAAAGTATGAAAACATTTTAAACTCATTTGAATAAGTCAAGTACAGCGGAGTAATCAGAGTAAGTGGTTGGTGGTCTAATCAGAAGAGCATTATATATATATATATATATATATATATATATACAGGGCCGGTCCTGGGGTCCTCAGCGCCCGCATGCAAGATTTGTTCTAGCGCCCCCCCCCAATAATTTTAACTGTTTTAACATTTATTATTAAAATTATATGAATATTTACGCAAAATTCTTTAAATTGATTTTTAACACTTTCCACTCGCGAATTTTCGGCGTCCGCGTCGAAGGGGTTAATCATTCTGGATTTAGTACACAAAAAATTAAATATAATCTAAAAGCTTATAAAATACATTGATTCTAATTTTATTCAGAAAATCAAAGTGATTTGCAGGTTGACCATAATCAAATATTTTACATTTTCAAGTATTTTTAACATATGTGTAATATTAATATTTGGATTTTGAAACATTTTACTTATTTCAATTTTAAACAGAACACTGTTTTTCATGTTGGATTTTTTAAATTTTATTTTCATTATTTACAATATCTTAAAATTGCATCGTAAACTTCTCCTTATTGAAATCGTAAGGACCGAATTGTATTCATATTTACTTTCCCATCTGATTCAGAATATCAGATTGTTGTTTTAAAGTTAAATTTTTAACGTATTTTATTAAAAGATGCAAAGAAATTACATATTTCCTTAACTATATTGAAAACAAAACACAATTATATTTGTATCTGTATTATTTCTGCTTAGTTAATAATTAAAAGTAGTATGGACACCAATAGGTATAAAAAAAGCTCAAGATTTTCGTTTCTATTACATTTTGCTTCCATTTTTGCTCCATTTCCATAAATCTAATCACGTATGTCTTCAACATTCAAAATTCATCAGATGCGAAACATTTTCAACAAAAACAAAAGTTACTCGGTTCAGTTTCTCGGTCTTAACAAGCCATTTTCTATGCACTGACTTGCGATTTTCCATGTTTTTCTATTATAATTTGTATCTATTTTTTTAACAAGTTTCGTTCAAACTAAATCAGCTCGTAGTTTTTCGTCAATAATGCCCAATAATTTAAACTTTCGTAGGTTTGCGCTTACGGGTTTGAACACTAGATAATTTCTTTTTCGAATCCACATTAACTTCAAGCGAGAAGAAATTAATAAGTACATTAAACAATAAGCAGAACAATAATTTACTAATTTGCAGAGCAAACTGAATATGCTTTTTGTGTCTACGTATCCATTAAGTTAGATTGTTTATTATAATCTATTAAGTATTCTTAATTTTATATTAAAAATTATATAATTATAATTTATAATTATATTATAAATTCTATTTCCGAATCTCGTTTTGGCGCCCCCTAAGGCGTGCGCCCGCATTTTTTGCATGCATCGCATGCAAGGCAGGACCGGCCCTGTATATATATATATATATATATATATATATATATATAATCTTCAGATCAGACCACCAACCATTTACACTGGCTTCTCCGCATATAATCAGTGTTTATATTTTTATGACTATAAAACTTCTGCATAAAGTACTTGATTTGATGCAACCTCATTATAAAAATCTATGAGGTATCTTAAAAATTAAATTTAATCTGAAATCCAAACTATTAATATTTCAAATCTACTCATTGAAAATATTTATGGTGGTAATAAAAATACATTTATACAAAATCATATTATATATATATATATATATATATATATATATGATATTCAGTTTTCAGGGCAATACATCAATTAAAAAATTTGTATGACTTTAAAACATTTTTATTTATTCCATACGTTTCGACACATTGTTTTGTGTCATCTTCAGTGGACTATGTAATTGAATTAATCCTAATTATTTCATATTATAAATGTTCACAATGCACAATCCTAATTATTTCATATTGTAAATGTTCACAATGAACAATCCTAATTATTTCATATTATAAATGTTCACAGTGCACTAAAAAACCAATCCTTGTCATTTTAAGTTAAACAATATAAAAAATTTTTGACTGAGATTTTTATGAATTTGTGAAGTACATCGCGCCGTACATTTCGGTGCTCCGATGTACGGGTGCTTTAAATGTTTTAAAGTCATACAAATTTTTTAATTGATGTATTGCCCTGAAAACTGAATATCACATATTTCAACATCAAAATTATATAAAAAATTTAATATATATATATATATATAATGTGTGTCTGTAGTATTCATATGTGTGTGCTCTTAACCGCATAATAAACGATGTATTCACTAGACAATGTTGTTAGAGTCATATTGTTTAACTCACAATTCAATCGAGTGAGGGTCATCTTTTATTTGGTTGGTTAAGACGAACAAATGGGAATCTTGACAGGTTAATATAACCATAATTGTTGAAAAAAAGATTATTACTTATTCAGAATGATTATTACTTGTACTGACTCAAGCGACGTAGACACGTTTCATTATTGATCATGAAATATTTAAATAATTTATCTTATACTTGGCATGATGTGTAAGATGTTCCGCCAACCTTGTTTCAACTAGTTAACTTAATGACAAATTATGTTTATGAATAATTATCAAATTCAAAATATATATATTGATAAGACAATTATAGTATTGTGTTGTATACTTTTGTGCGCATTTTGCTACTTTTCTCTACTCCACTAGTATTTTATCATTTGGTTTATTAGCCAGGAGGATCACAGTGCACATTTGTTCGAAATTATAGATCTTATGGACCGACACATTGGCAACAAACTTA